GACAATCTTTAAAAAAATGGGAATTTGAAAAGTCAGACTGTATATGACCTTGCTTTAGTCACAGTGTGCTTTCTGCAGCCACAGAGGATCTGGTTAGTGGAGGAACTCGGCCAATGAGAAACAGAAGGGAGAGAGTTACTATAAAAGACTCCATGGAGCTTGAGAGATTGGAGCCATGATGAAGGAGCCGATGATGAACGTGCCGCACTTGGGTTTTCCCGGGTATTTTAGCAGTTTACTCTTAGATTGTTCACGACTGCTGATGCATATTGTCTGCAATTGCATGTGTGCACATGGTGTGTGTTAAGTAAATGTGAAATTACTCTTCAAACCATCTGGTAAAAACCTTTAATCCTGTCATCAGCAATTGTTCACAGCACGTGGAAAACAATCTGATAGATGGACAGTCTAAGAGTAGCCGTTTCCACCATGCTCCTTGTATATGGGTGGGTGTGTGTGTGGTTCTGTGTGTCTGTGTTTTATTGCCCATCTTAGACTGACGTAATATGAGTTGTTACAGCTGACATAAAGAATTACAAGCCTCTATGCTCTCACATATCGAAACAGTGTTTTTGCCTCAGTTTCAATGCTTATTATCCACAAAAAGGAAATAATGTTTTTTAATTCAAACCCATTTTCTCTCGTATTACAAATGTTACAGTATTTTTTCTTAGAACCTTTTCTGAAGAATGTAAAACTTACAAAGAATTGTAAGACCTCTGGAAGCTTGAGTGCAACATGTGCATCTTCAGATATGGAAAAACACATTGTATCCATAAACAGGAAAACAGCCTTCTGCCCTGTCTGCACATGTCTCTTGACTATTCAGATTTGATTAGGCTTTTAAAGCAAGCCAGCACTCAGCTTGAGTCTCAAACTTGCGTGTGTGTTTGTGTGTGTGCCCGCACTTGAATGTTCCAGACTGACTTTGATGCGACTAAACATCCAAATCGTCATTTGCTATGGAGGTAAACTGTGTCTGGCCGCACGTCAGTATGTTATATATTGAATGAAACCAGACACACAAAACTGTTTTTTGCTCCCTATTTAATTTCCAAGGCCAAATTGATGGGGAATGTAGGAATATATCAACATTTCTTAACTGAGATTTTGATGTCAAGAATCTCAGTTTGAAAAGCTTTTTTCTTTTTTTTGTATCTGAAGACTTTCCTAAAGACCCAGAAGCAGGTCTGTCTCATAATTATAACAATGTGCAATGCAACTCCTTATTCCATGAGGAAATATGATATGATGAAAGGGATTTTTGTAGCATACAAAACTATATATAAAACTGCACCAGGAGAGACTTTCAAATAAAAATACACCTGTCTTCTCTTGTCAGACAGTAACTCGCTAAAGGTGCAGAACAGAGCAAAGTGTTATTTCATTGGAAACTGGGCGTCTTGTTCATGTGGGTGGTATATAAACCAGAGTACGAGTGCATACAGGCCAATTGTATATAGACCTACGTGTAGCTCAGTGTTTGAGGGAATATGCAGAGCTGCAGAAATGAGGCATAACACTGACTTATTCTGCCCTGCTTCACACAACTGGCTTTTCTATCAGATAGACAGCTTGACAATATCCAGACCCCACTCTTTCCGCTACACACACACACACACGCACGCACGCACGCACGCCCACACACACGCACACACACACATACACGCATGCACACACTGTTTGCTGGGTTTGTTCTGCTTGTTTCCGACTGGACTGTTTGTAAGATAAAAGAGAAGTTTGTAGCTGAGTGAGTACAGTCTGACCTCTTAAACAGGCTTTCATTGTTTTATGCAGTGAATTGAGACTTGCATTTAAAAAATATTACAACACAAGAGACATCTTTCTTGGAAAAAATCTGCAAATGAATAATGATGTTGACTTAGAGACATGAATCAATGTCATTGGGATGATCTCCATTCCTTATTGTCTTAATAGTTTTAACTGAAGTTAAGGCAATTTAATGTATGCTTGATTGATTGTCTATGACTGTGTTTGTAAAACAGTAGATCATCTGTATTGTTCCCATTTGGGAGAGTTATTTTCCAATAAAAATAAGTGCTGCTATTTCACCTTATATTTCACCATTTGCCCCAATATTTCATTACATCCTGCTACATTTCATTTTTCTTCATAACACAGATGTGACAGTAACAGCTCACACACACACACACACACACACACACACACACACACACACACACACACACACACACACACACACACACACACACACACACACACACACACACGGTATGTGTGCATGTGCATACATACACAGATTCACGGTGTCTTGGAAATGTCATTACTTTCATCTGACTGAGATTACAGATTTGTAGCTTCAGGGCTCGCGGGTGTCTGCATAGGAGCACTTTCATGTTTGGCCTTAGTGATCTGCAGATTTCCTAACAGCAGGAGGGGGAATTTACCCAGCATCCCTTTCTCTTTGGAAGAAAACATATGATGACCCTCTCTTTCTAGGCTATAAATGAGAGCTTGGCTACGGTGGCCAGTAATACTATACTTTCTCCTTGGGCTAAAAGCTGTTGTCGGTGTGTGCAACCGAAACAGAAACTGGCTAACTGAGGATTAACCACCCTTAAAAGGATAGACCGTTCCCAGGGAATTGTACTATTGTTTGTCCTTTTTACCCTGAATAAGAAAAGCTCTTGTCTAGCTGTAGCTTTGCTAAAGTATTTACCTGCCCCTCTGAATAATAGGGATAGCCTAAAGTGACATATTCAAAGGCCCAACCCAAAGATATTTAATTTACAAATATATTATGACAGTGAGAAACAGCACATTCTGCTATTGGAGAAGTTGCAACCTGAGGATACGTTTCATTTTATCATGTTTTTTAAAAAGATTTTATTTACTATAATAATTGCCTATTAGTTTTCTATAGATCAATCAACTGCTAATTTCAGCTCCATCTACTATGATGAGCCCAGTTTTTATATCCATGAATTTGTTTGATATTAACAGATAAATTATATATTTAACGGCCAGCATTGCAGTTTGATATTTTATTTGTATACCTTTGATAGTTATGAATTTGTCTGCTGTTGGTTAAGAAGGATCACCAGGGACTGAACACCTAGACATGTATTTATGTGAACATGTTGCTCTCAGACCTGCCAGCAGAGAAACAATATTTTTAGCAGCTTGCGGTGTCAAATGATTCCTTTATGAATGTGTGCGGGCTGCTAGCTGTGCTAGCCTTCTGCTCAGGTCTCAGGTGAGGAAAGGCCTGGAATCACTCATCCTGACAGCCACATCTGGCGCTACTTTCTCTGTCCTGTTGCCCTCAACTTTGCTCCTGCAAACAGACACCACTCTGGTTTAACCACAAAGAAAGGAAGTTATGATAATAGCAGTTAGGATAATAACTTTATTGGTGCTTATTAATGAGATGGAGAACAGACAGTTTACTCAGGAGATACACTCCCAAAGAGCACTTTGTGTAATAAAACCATTGTAACTGCTAGCATTTCATTTTGTTTTCAGCCTTTGTCCTGCCGTTGCTGGAAAACGAATGAATGCCAGGTGCAACATGCATTCTTTCTGTTCTCGCTGTTTGCTCCGTAGATTATACCTAACCACTACTCTATTGGTATAAAGGCTTACAGTAAATGCTGAATATAAAAAAAATACATTTGCACAAGGTGTGACTTAATAAGCATTGTTTTATGTTCCAATGTATTTTGACTCTGTCTTAAAGCCAGACGTCTGTATCTCTCACATTCAGTTATTAAATATTAGAGAACCTTATACGGTTCACATGGTCGTAACATCTCCATATGTATCCAGAAGACCTCACATGCACCCTGGTCGGCTCCACTTTTCTCTTCATTCCAGTTAGGACAAAGCGAACAGTTGGCAAGCTCAGCTTGTGCCGAACACACCGTTGAGGGCAAATTCTAGCCAGAACCAGACCTGCACACACACTTCATCTGTTTCCTGTTGAACCTAGGAAGTAAGGGTCGGACAGAGAGGTAATTTATACATTAATGGAAGGACTCCAAGCAGATAACATTTCAATTCAAGAGCCTGAGGTTCGAGGACAAGCCTGCTGTCGTACATTAACATATAAACAAACTCTTTTGGCACTTTCACCACATGCCAGCATCTGTGGTAGGGCTCCCTATCTTTACTGCACAGTGAGAATAACGTGATGTGATGGAGACAGCAGACATTAACGTGAGTGAGTGGTCAGCTGCAGAGGAACTGAATGATCCTGTGCTCACAGCTTTGAGGAGCACAGTTCACCGCAGGAGTCCATGATGGGAAAATCCTTTTTTCTGGATTCTCACTGAATGTTGCTGAAGACCAGACTCTGCTGTCATGTGCATAACATGCAGATGCAAACACAAAGTTCAATATCTGGCACACGACAAATGTTTGTAAAATAAATGCCGGCGGTGTCTTGTAATGTATCCAAAATACAGTACACATACTTTCATGAACATTACTTCTGAGAAATCGAATCTTCTTTAACTAATTGTATATGTTACAATTTACTGAGGTTGAAGAATTCAGAAGAAGCCACTCTTTTTTTCAAAAGGGTCACAAGAGAAAGAACTTGTTTGTTTAAATGGACGAACCCAATGTTTTTCCAATAAACGTATTTTTTCATTTGTAAATTGTTTACTGTTTCTCAGCATTGAAATAAATCTCTTTAGTGCTTCATAACAGACCAAATAGCTTGTAAAATAGCATCACAAACCCACTCAAAAACACTGTGAGGGCAGTTTGCACTCAATAATGCAAACTACATTTCATCACATGTTGATATTCTCTTTATAGCTGCAAATATCGGTGGTTATGGTACAAAGAGCACCATAAAACAGGATCGTGACATGGTTTTATAAGAACAGTAGGGGGTTCCTACAACACATAGATATGTACAACAGTACATCGATGAGTTGCACATGGTCTCCATGTGATACCAGATGCATAAAAAGAATCAAAGTTACAACTGCTTTGTGGGTTTCTCCCAGCCAGGTCTTTAGACAAACTGTACAACTTTGCCGACTGTGCTGGTCTGCACCTGATCCTGGGGCTCAACGCGCTGCACAGAAACCCAGACAACTCCTGGAATACCTCCTCCACCCTGAGTCTCCTAAAGTACGGCGCTGGAAAGAAGTACAACATATCCTGGGAGCTTGGAAACGGTCAGTACACATACACACCACATGCTGCATACTAAATAACATGATAAGCTGCCGTCTGAACTAACACATACACTCTATTTTGAACCCAGAAACACTGTATGACACTCGCATGACACAGCATGAAGGACTTTCACTTTTTACTGTTAGATTAGTCCAAAAAAGTACTTTGTTTAAAGTCCCGTGCTATGAGAAAGCAGTTACACATTTGTTTATCAAACATTTACTGGTTATACCAGCTTTGAATGACAACAAATGTAGAGAGCAAGCTGTAAGTGAGAGTAGAGCAAGGGGTTAATTCAGGGATCAAAGGAACTGCAAGCTCTCATGTCATCCTAACCATCTGTGTTCCTGGGGAGCTGCGCTGCACACAAAGCCTTGTGTTCCCCTGCTGCACATCACTTCAGAATTCATTTCATTTCATCTGCAATTAAGCTCACAATAGCAACTTTTATTTTAGACTAAGCCTAAAAGTACCATTGAAAATCCATTGACTGAACCATGTGTGACTTGGACCCCAGCAAAAGCACAGTTAAAGTAAATCACGCAGACAGTGCAGACACGGAGTTAGTTTTGAGAGGTGGAATGAAAAGTTAATCCTCTTGAATTTGCCAAAAATATTTTCATTAAATATACGGAACGCAGCACAGACACAGCTACATTCACACACAAAGCAGACATATTGAAAGATATATTTTAAAGCCCAGACACAACCTGGTCAAGACAATAACAATACGCTTGTTGTTAAAAAGGAAAGTGCCTGTAACATTTTATTTGTATCCATTTGGGGAAACTATCTCCCTCCGTATCTTCTTTTCCTGGCTCTGCTAGGCCACCCTGTGTGCTTGGACCATCCGTCTCACATTCAGTCCATCTGTCTCTATTACTGCCAATTGCCCAATTACCCTTTTTTCTACTGGATGTTTGGTACTCTCTAGGAAAGCAAGATCAGACTACAACAACACAAATGTTTTCACCTTGACCTCCTCAATGTTGCTTTTGTAAAATATATCTCTGTGGCTCAGTGTACTGCATCTCTTCTTCCCAGAGCCTAACGCGTACCGCAGCATGGTGGGTCGAGCGGTCAACAGCACGCAGTTGGCTCAGGACCACACCAAGCTGCGGACCCTGCTGCAGTCTGTGCGCTACTACCACCGAGCTCACCTCTACGGCCCCAACGCAGGTCGACCCCGGAAGAACGCCATCCTGCTGCTGGACGGGTGAGTGTCAGCATGTAACACATTGATAGGGAATGATATATGTCCTTGTTAGGCTATCCTGCAGGGGAACAAAGGGCTAAGGTAGTGGAATGTATGCTGCAGGGGTTTCTGACTCTTACTGAGCTTTACTGTGTTTAAAGCGCTCACACACACACACGCAGACACACACACGCAGACACACACACGCATTGCAGAAGTGTTCTGTGTTTATGGATTTCCACTCTGCAGGTTTCAGCGTCTCAGCTCCAGTTATACCATGTCAACCTAAATAAAGTGTCATCTGATTGATAACGTGACGGCACAACGTCCCACCTGCTGGCTTAACCCATAAGCTCCACCAGCTTTGGTCCGACTCTAATACATCTCCAACAGCTCTCTCTCTATTCCTGAGATGGTCATTTCATACTTTCTAGTTTTATTTGTACTGCAAAAAAGGCTTTGTATTCTGCTTGTTACCTACAGGTCAGTAATACTTTACTGTTTGCCTTTTTCAAATGCAAACATACTTTTCCTGATTCACTTATTACTTCTGGATTGTACTGTACTTATATTATTTAAAAATAGTATAGTAGTTATGAGGAGGGTCTTAATTTTGCAAGCTTTCAAGGCATTTAAGGGCTTATGAAAACACATATCTTTTAATACACATTTGCAAGATAAAATCATCATCATGAGATCAAATCATAAGAGTTTGCAAGCTTTAACTTTAATACAAAGTTAAGCTATTAATGTCAAAGTCATAAAATTGACCGAAAACAGTTTAGTACAGGGAAAGAATGATAGGACAGTAAGGCAAGGCAAGGCAAGGCAAGTTTATTTATATAGCACCTTTCAACACAAGGCAATTCAAAGTGCTTTACAAAAATGGAAGACATTATGAAAATGGCATTTAAAATCAGTCATTAAAAAGAAAAGATAATAAAATAAACATTAAAAGAAAAAATACATGGATAAAAGTTAAAAGTTACAGTGCAGTATAACAAATTGCACATTTTTAAATCAGACGGCCCAGTTTTGATAGGAAATAAAAGAAAGCTTGTCCCAAAATGTCATTTCTCTAAGCAACACAAGCTCTTGCTCTTGTGTGATCATACTGTATGAACTCAAACTGACCCCTCAGATTAATCAGACACTGAAAATATGTATGCTACTTTTGGATGTGTCTGCCTGTCTTAGTTTGTAAAAACACCTTTAAGACAGAAAAACTCTCTCAGTTCTATTGACCAAATAGATGACGCAGCTCTCAAACGTATTCATCACTTCCCAAAAAGTTAAGCCACTCTGCTTTGGGTCTGTTGAAATAGAAACAAAGTTGACTCAAATGGATGCTCCAGTGGCCCTGTACAACAAACAGATTGAAAATAAAACATGGACGGATACACACGGCTCTGTCACTGTCGGATGCTCCAAATAAAGCAGGACCTTATAAAGACATGTTTTTGTTACCCTGAAATGGAAAATTGCTCAGTATTATCAAGAATATTAAACTTGAATACGGAATTTGATTTGAACAAGTGGTAACACTTCCTATATAAACATTTTATAGATGGTTTATAACATGCTAGTTGTGAGCAGATCTAACCTTTTATTCATGTATTTTCCAACCCCTATAGCTCCTCCTCCGCTGGTGTATAAACAGATAATGAATGACAAAGTAAAGTACAACTGTAATTATATATAAAATATGTCTCATGTGGAGAATTTCTCATCATGTTTGACAAATAAAGATTAAAAAAAAACACACTTTTACCTTCTCACAACTAATAATGTGTGGTAAACGGTTTATAAAGTGTTAATAGTGCTGTTCAACTCTATAAGGCATTACCACACAAGTCAATGTTACAGTTTGAATACTTGATGCAGGTGTTCAGTGGGATAATACACAAATCAATCATAATTCAAGATGAATACCCTCATAATGCACTATAGATGTGCTCTTCTTAGAGATATCGAGATATCTTTTGTTGGTGAATGAATACGAATAAATTACTGATATATATTGTATGGATTTTGAGTGGGAAGGTCAGCGTTGGAGACACTCAACCGTTAACTTGTCATGCGCGTTGGCTGAAAGAAAGCTATAATCAATGCTTATTGTCTGTCATCAAATATGTATTTCTCTCCAGAGGTCAATTTGACATTTCAGAGGTGCAAGATCCAGCTCTCTGACCTTAACTGAAATGTTGAAAACAGTAAAACGAGAAACAGCATCTCGTGAAGCAAAGTACAGTCTATGAAATTAAACTAATGTCAGCTAAAAAGGTTTGTGTGCAGAAGCATACAACAGTTTAATGTCTCTGTATATCTCAGCCTGGATCTGTCTCCAGCTCCTCTCTGCAGCCTCACACACTCTGACAGCTAGTTGGAAGACAGGGGGGAGAGAATCATTTGATATGGGTCTCCCCCCTCTAGGTACTCGAGCTACTTACATCACAGGAACCATTATGAGCCGCTGTTTATCTCACTGTGCTGACAGATCAAATTTACTCAGGAATAAAAGGTGTGTGTGTACCGATGTGTGTGTGTGTGTGTACATGAAGTGTGTGTGTGTACTGATTAATAAGGAGTGGACCTTCTGGAAAAGAAAGATACATTGAGAAGCTAAGAGGGAGAGAGTGGATGAAGAGGAGATGGATGGAGTATCTGCAGGTCACTGGTGACACGTTTAACGACGGAGTGATCCTCGTGTGTTTGACACCGTTACGAGGGGGTGGCTCTTGTGTTTGACAGCCCAACTACTCTGCTGCTCTCAGGAAATAAGATGAATTAGACACTGAGCTGCTCAACAGTCCAAATATCAGAGCTGGACAGACTAAACAAGCCAGAGGGGTGAAAGTTTAGAGACACACATTAAAGCCAAGCTGTTACCCCCAAATATGGAGAGATTTGGGTCAGGTAGACAAGGAAACACACACAGATGCAGAAGCCCAGGAGGAGGAAGGCAGACGAGTCAGTGTGTATGTGTTGAGTTGTTGTTTGTGTGCAGGAGTTTGTATTTAACATAATTAAATCAAACTGTACAGGCTGCGGAAAAAGCTCAAGAAAACACGGTGTCTTTCTTGGCTTGAACAACATTTGGTGTATACTGGGCTTCAAATGGAAATCTTTCTATGTCTGTACTGTAAGTTGACCATCTTAATTAAGCTCTTACTTCCCCTATAGAATACCGAATTGTCTTCACTTAATCTAATCAACACTATGACATATTCCATTAGATGTACATATCAACCAAGAGTAGAGTAAAGTTATGTTGCTCTTTGAAAACAGTTTGACTTACTCCACATAAAAGTAGTATATTTTTCACATCCTGGTTTTCAAATCTCTTGTGTTAAAACAAGGATATTGCACCCTGCCTTCCTGTCTTATATTCCCATGTGTTAGCAGATACGTTGTAGGTTCAATGTTAAAATAACTGTGAAAATTAGTTTGATAACACCCAGTTTTTAAAAAGAGGTCCACTCATGTGAAGATAACTCTGTTTTTCTGACTTTCAGGTTCATGAAGAATGCCGGCTCTGTTGTAGATGCAGTTACGTGGCAACAGTAGGTATTTTACCCTTTTTTTCTATTTTATTATTTTGTCCATAGTTTACCCCCGAATCCATGTGCATTCTTCTCATACCGTAGACTTCCTACTTAAAAAACCTTAAATGTAACCATGATTTGTATTATTATCACTCAATTGCACAGTAGTAGGCAGCAACAAGCAATTTAAGGCGTGTTACTGAGAGAGACTGATGTGGCTATATCCAGTCAATGGAACAACAGGAAAGGGAACTTTAGAGAGAGAAAGAGAGTGTGTGTGTGTTTGTGTGTTAAATTAGTAACACCTGCAATTTGTCTATTGCACATCCTGTAGAAATGCTTAGTATCAATGGTTAACTCTTTTGTCCCATGTTTTACTATGTCTTTAAACACGTGTTACATTAAAAAGACACACCCTCTGTACGCTCAGACACACCCTGTGCGACTGAGTGAATGGTCATTAAGGTGAAGGTCAGGTCTAATTAGGAGAAGTTAGAAGAAACGGAAGGAGGCAGGGCTGTCAGTAAGGCTTAGAAAAACACCACCCACACTGTTAAAATCAAACCATATGCTCTGGCTCATTCCCTCTGTCAATTAGCCCGTTTTACACTAGAGATCCAGATTCCTGTTTAACCAGCCTTCCTGACGGCAACTCTGACCTCTACAAAAAAAGCCAAACGTATAAAAGTAGGGACCACTCATTAACACGTCTACAACACGGTGTTTACTCCTTTGCAGCTGGCTAGTTGTGTGTGTATCAAGCGTAGCAGATTGGAAACGCAGCGTTCATTATACACTTTAGAGAATCATATGGATTCTTTAGACAGGCTGTCCATGGTTTACAGTCGGAGGTGTTCTGTTGCAGAAAACATTGATATTTGGGTCCTATTGTGTTATTACGTTTTTTCCACAACATTTAAGTTTGACATTTGGAGCATCTTGTCTCAGTTACTGCTGCTTATGCATTTTTGGAATCACCAACAAAACATGATCTTTCTCTTTCTGTCTCTCTTTCCTCTCTTTCCCATCTTTCTGCTGTTTAATGTTATCTCAGACTTTAGATAGTGTGCCGGTTGTTTCTCAAGATGTTTTTCCTGGTTGTCTGGATGTACACATTTCTATCAGTTTTTTCTGTTGATACTTAAAGTAAAATGCACCCAAATGATGAGAAAAAACATTTGTCACATACCTCTGGTGGTGTGTAACCATGCAGACTGTTTTGAGTTTGTTTACTCAGTATTTGAAATATATAGGTCTAAGATTTCTGCCTTCAGGCCAATACAATTGTTGTCAATATAATTTAATTTGTGGTGCTCATACCACATACTCTGGATAGACCTCGCTGTGCTCCGTGGCCCTGCTCAGAGCTGATATTTACAAGAGTGCACATCTCTAAGTCCAGGTGTTAATGCACTCAAGATGCATTGAGGACTCCTCATTGGTCCACGCTAACACACCTCAACACATTTTAGATTGATATAGATTTATTGTCCACAGAAGATGAATATTTGGTGACTTTTGGTAGCTCCATGTTGTGGTTTACAATTAAATGTCTTGACAGCTATTGGTTTGATGGTCTTAAACTTTTTTGCTAAATTGTTTGTTATGTGTAAAATGATTGATAGATAAGTGCAAATTGTTTATAAAACATTACTGTTATTACTATCTGTAGGCCAATATGTTGCCTAGAGAATGCCCTTTTTCAAGAACCTGGTGGGTTTTACGCAATTCTCCTTCAAATTCCCTTGCAAATGTTGTCTTGATAAAACATCGTATGTGTATGTAAAGAACGAAACATGCTTTGCAGCCACATTTTAAGGCCAAGGTTACATCGCTACTCACATCTTTCTCGTTCATTGTCAGCATGACAGCAGTGCTGCATGTCAGAGAGCAGGGTGTGCGTGCATTGACAGCTGAGGCTAGAACAAATAAATGTGAAAGGTTTGTGATCCCATCTTTTCTCATGTGAGACTCACAGAGGCACTGTAAAATCACTGATGGCATTCCTGAGGGAAACTACACATCGCTCAGCTGGGTTCAACCTGCTGGTCCACATCAAGAAACACATCTTCTTACTTTTTTACAGAATAGAGGTTAAAAGGATGAGGAAAGGAATCCATGCAGAAGATGGAAACATAACTCATCACGAAACATGACATTAAAATGTGCAGCATAATAAAACAGATACATGTCTAACACACGTTTGACTTGGAGAAGTCCTGAGACTGCAACTATCAGACAATTTAAAACAAGTCCTCTGTGATCATTATCTAACAAAACATTCATGTGAAAGGAACTATTCATTTTTAGTATTTCTCAGACTTTAGTTCACTCTACATTTCTCCAAAAATAATTTAACATGTATGAATTTTCGCTTGTTTGGTATTGATATTCTTTTGCTTTAACCCGACCCTGTCTGGTATTTGATCACATCCACTTCTTCTGTAGTCTATGCTATCATTTTAAATAGAGTGCTGATTGTTTTATTAGTGAGCTGTCTTTAGTGCAGTCCTGGCACAGTGAGAGCTACGGAAAACCAGCTGACATAGTGGATCTTTGTATGAAAACATTCAGACCCAGTGTTGTTCTTTTCTGCATTTTAGTCTGGCAGCTTAAGAGTCATGCCAAATATTGGATGAACACGGGAAAAAGTTATTAGTTCTGTTTTGGGAGCTTAGACCTGGGCAATCCTAAGAATACCGAGCTGAAATCCCCTCAATCCTGGTCAACATACTTAAACAGTTTCCTTTATATTCATTTCTTGATGGGTTTTCTACTCTAATGAACCAACAAACGTAAGCAAAGAAAGCAAATGTTGCCCTTTTGCTTGCTCTCTTTTAGACTCTGACCATAATAGCTTTATTTACATTGCAAGATACAGCTATAAAATAACTTGTTCAGTTTTTGATTCTGTTTCCATATATGAGCTGGAATTTCTTTCTCTGGGTTCTGGTCTGAAGAGTTATTGTGAGCTCTCTGGAAAGATGACAGGATAACCAAATAATTTGTGTAAAGCTATGACTTAATCCAAGAGTTGTTTACAGTTTGAGGCCAGGAGTTTGGGACTTTTCCAACGCGGGGACAACATTTTCAATGGGGTTAAGCTCAGATTGCAACACTGCTGCACCACATGAATATAATTCAGCTGTTTCCTAAGCGATTTTATTGACACATCAGACTATTGATGCTGCTGTTATGATGATATGGTCTATTTGTCTATTGGCCTTATTATTCTGGATAGAGTGCAAACCTCCCTTGCCTGTGCACCCTTTAATGTGTTGAGACTTTGATTCAATGGAACTTGAATCCCTCATCCCAGTTTACAAGTGTTTTGTAGTAATTCTAAATTGGAATAACACTTTTACTGAGCTGATGAGGTATTTGATTAATAACATTTGTTGTTTTCAGAATAGAAATCTGCTCTGCAATGACTCACAGATTTGTTCTTACATATCTAATAAACACGTGTTGTATCTGTTTTCGTTATTTTCTTTTGTCATGGTGCTGTAAAAAATAATGATCCCACATGAGTCTTTGATTCTCATACGTGTCACTTTTTCCATTGCTTATGTGAAGCGGATGAATGCATTTATATGACATTACTGGGTTATTCAACTTTTAAAACATTATTTTCACCATATCCATAAGTTAGCATTCAAATCCTTCTGCTGTCGACTACAACATTGAATTATAAATATTTATTTAAGTGGTAATATTCCTGACTAATGTAGATTAGTTCAGCAAAATGACTTAACCAGACTATTGAAAGAAGATACAAAAAAAGATGTTCTATTTCAATATCTTTTTTATAAGAGGTGAAAAAAGAGCGTTATGAATTCAACTGAATATGAAGAAAAAATCAATTGCTTAATTGATACACGGTCAGATTCTGTTATAGCGACTAATGTTCTCTTACATTCGTCACTGGAAGTTTGAGAATCTGGGATACTGTTAGGAGATATATCTTGAACTATCATCAATTCAACACTCATGTTGTCTTCAGCAGTGCAGATACACTGTGCATGTGTATTATGTGTATCATGTGACCTGAAACAGGAGTGTGTGGTTGTTGCTCTCTGGTTTTCCTCTCTTGGACTCTTGCAGGGATCTTGGAGAGGCTTTCTGTCTGGGTGATGTTCCTCCGGACTTTGGCTCTAACATCCATAACATTCTTCTTTCATCGCGCTCTCTTAACATCATCTCTCATTATCATCTCTCTTTGTGTCTTTATCTCTAAAACACATGGATGTCTGCATTGGTCAGTTTGACATCTCAGTGCTTCCAATTGCTCTTTGATGCAACCCAAGAAGGAACCGCAGCTACGTTAGTATAGCATTTGTGAAGCTTCTTTATTCTTGTTGTACAGTTTAACTTACCATTGACCCGCCTGTTTGTGTGATATGTTATTATGAAATATAGAGAGTGTCTTACCAATAGGAAGACACCCTGGTCCATTGTGTTTGGGGCATGGAACAAAAGTCTTTTGAAATATGGTCCAAGATGTAGAAGGAACACAATATATAGTTCTTATCAATCAATTGAACTTAAGTTACACACACACTCATATTTGGTGTTTGTTTTGATGGAAAATCAACATAAGGCTTGTACATTTCACTTACTTTTCTAACCATTCAGTGCTGTACAAATGTGATGATAATGATTGTTGCTTATTGTAAAGCGTGTACAGAGTGTTTCTCTCACAGCATTTTCTTTGCATTTCCATTACAGTTATTATATGGACGGCAGAGTGAACAAAGTGGAGGACTTCCTAAAGACCCGTCTGTTGGACACACTGACAGAGCAGATAAATAAAGTCACCAAGGTACTTGAGTTTTACTTAAAGTCCTGAAATTGAACTTCTACGGTGAAAATATTTACATCAACTATTTTGATTGCTTGCTCCTCGGTGAATATCATATGTCAGTTCTAGAGCTGTACTGTAGATACAAAATGTATTTGTCTGGTGTATATTTCAGATGTCATATCACAGGTCGTTCACAACACCTCCAGGCTGGATAGGAAGAAACAACTAATTTAAATCAGAAGTTACTGTATATTAGCATTTTTTAGTTTGCAAGGTCATGCATCAGTCCTCAGCTAGTTTTTGTAATGATAAAGCCACATGTGCTCACCACAAGACGAGCCCTCTGGGTAAGATGGTTGTCTCTCCACCATGAGGTAATATTATCAACACTGGCTGATATGGCAGACTTGCTGAGTTGTAAGAGATGGACAGTGCCAAAGTGCCTCAGGGAAAAATAAGCAACCATTGCCAAGAAAAAAGTTACAACATTGAATGAAATGTATCAAAAGTGAGATTCCTTTTTGCAGTACCACTCAGCCAAAGTCAGTGAGTTCAGGTTTTTGTGTAGCTATATTTTTATTCTGTGTGCAATTCTAAGGTTCAGTCTCTTTGCACATGTAGAGTTTGTTAACTACTACTTGAAATGACTTTACATTAGAGTCTTGAAAATGCAGTCATTAGAGGAGAAGCATATGTTAGTACAGTGACAATTTAACTGGTAAAAAAAATATGTATTGATTCAATTTTTTTTTTAGATTTCATAAACTTGATTCCATGGTTGACGTTGCTGATACACCTGTGTTTCTGTCCCTCTCCATGCAGGTTGTGAACACACACTCTCCTGGTAAGAAGGTGTGGCTGGGTGGGCTCGGGCCGGCGTGGGCAGGAGGCATCAACAATCTCTCCGACACATACGCTGCTGGCTTTCTGTGAGTACTGCTATCATACTGTCGCTAAATCCACCGCGATGTGTTCTTTGGATAATGATAACTTTAATACTCATAAACTGATAGGAAAAAACATATTTATTTCCAATGCTTTCTGTGCTACCTGTATCACAATGAGAGGCATCTGCTGTTGCAGGCCTAATTCTTCTCTTTGTGTATGTGTTCATATATTTTCCAGGTGGGTGAACGCGCTGGGAATGGCTGCTGTGCAGGGGATTGATGTTGTCCTGCGTCACTCGTTCTTTGACTACGGATACACACACCTTGTGGACCAGAACTTTAACCCTCTACCTGTGAGTCTCTCAGTCCAACAAGGATTATTGCGTCTTATTTTCAAGGCTTCAATTCCCCTTTTTTCCTCATGATAACAAGGTTCTGACCTGTGTAGTCCTGTTACTATCTGGACCTTCTCTGTGCCAGACCCAGTGCCTCGATAGCACCTCTCGCTCTTTCCCGTGGGAGCTATTAGGCGAGATGAAAGGCGTTTAGTGGTGATGAGTGCTTAGACGTGGGGGCGAAATGCCATGTAACCTTAGCCCTTTGTCAGAAGCTCAGGACAGTGTCACTGCTCCCGTCAACCCCCATCACAACTGTGCGCTTCTCTGTGCGGGACAGTCGGCCGGTGACAGATCTGCAACCTGAGATGCTCATACACAGGCATGTTAGTAAAAAAAGCCTGCAACAGTGTTTAAAATGGACCTGCCCAATCCCAAGTTCCTCAAGGTACAGAATACAACAACCGTATTAATCATCTGACACACATTGATCTTTTTACAAGTTGTTCATGAAGATTTTTTATTTAAACAACAAGCATGTGTAGGCCTAATTTTAAGGTTATAATGTTCCTTTATTGTACTAAAAGCTAAACATGAGATGTTTCTTGCTAGGTAAAACAGAGAAGATAAGTAGGGACTTATTGAATTTAGCTGGGAAACAAATTGGAGTTACAAAAGTCTACCATGAGCCAAGTTCATACAAAAAAAACATTACATTTTTAAAGAAATGGATTATATTTAGCTGAGGCAGGGCAGAGGTGAGAGGGTTGCATTAGGGGCCTGTATCGTAAATCATTGCTCCTACAATCAAGTGGAATATGACGGAATCAAACATTTGTTATCATTCAAGATGACTTTATTCCTGTTCTGCTTATAAGTAGCTGCCAGAATGAGTACTATTTTACCCACTAATGTTATTGCGCATCTGAAATAATCAATTTCTACAAAATCCTTTGTCCTCTTTACCCGATATTTTTGAAGCAGAGAAAGATGTGAAAAGAAGAAAAGAAACTGGCGAAGCCACCTCATTTGTATCGTTTTAGCTTCATCTTTCTTCTCTTTCCCTCTCCATTATTTTTCCAGGAATGGCGGCGTCCCGCTAGGATCACAATGCTTTTAAAATGGCTGGATGTCTAGAGGTTGCCCCAGCCTACCTGCTGAGAGAATTCACTGCAGGGCCAACCTGTCCTTGAAATTTATGACCTGGCCCCTTCTCCTATAGGACGACTCCTCCAATGGGAGAATCCATTTGAACCCCCCTTCCCCCTGAATGAATCACCTACCTTTCCTTTTAACACAGTTCTGCCTTTTCTTTACTTGCGCTTTTGTCCCAATCTTTATCAAATAATCTTTGTTTTGTTTACAGTCCACACGCCTTGTTTGTAAACTCCTACACTAAGGTGAAGTAAGATTCATCTTTGAGAAACAGAAATGCCAGTATTTAGTGTCTGGCAGTGTGAAGGCATATTGCTCCTGTTAGAAAACATTGCCCTTCAAATGCTTTGAAGAGAGACAATATTTCAGGAGATTAAAGGCCGTTGCAAAGCACATAGAAATCAGGGAGATGAGGTTGAACCCCCCCTAACTAGCCAACCTTAATGGCAGCATATTGTGGGTATACTTGCATCTCTTTGACCTTTTCCTGGATTAGTCTTTTTTTCTCCTCATTTTTTACAGCTGTCATCTTTTAGTATATTTTGGAAAGCTCAATTAGAGCTTGCAGAAGATTGTTTTTTAATTGAAAACACCCAAATGTTTTAACTTGCCGCTATATGCAATGTTATAGTATGACCTCATACTTAATGATCTCATGGATTAACAGCGTCTCAGCCAAATAGTCTGACTCTCATTTGGCCTATTACAATAAACACTAACGGTTAATTGTGTTTTCTCCTTGTTATAATCTGCATATTCTGGCCAGGTTGGGTGTTATTGGTCTCTGGTGCATGGATTTACGTTTCCTCAGTCCATGACATTATACTAGGTAACTTGTTCCTGCCTGTTATTAACTGTGTTTCTTGGTTTGTATAGTATCTGGATGTTTGTTCCTCCACTTGTTATCTGAATATTTGGGGGCAAAAAGACAGGATGAGAAAGATAAGCACTTGGACAGGGAAACAGAAAACAAAGAGAGGCCGTTTAGGATTAGGACCATATCAGATTTTCCTCTACAAATGAAATGTTATGTCCGCACAATTCCTGTTCTGGTTGGGGATTTAAACGCAGTCGTAGTTTAAAGTATAGCAATTCATTGATGGTTTCTCTTACTTGAGTTGGGAAATGTAAACCCCAAGCAAGAGTATAGCATCACTCCGGCCATCTTGCTCAAATAAAGCTTCGGACTCATAGCTGTTCTTTGTTTTATACTTCATGTAATAATCATAGATCACAGTTCTGGCCATACATTCACCCATCCATCCCTGTGCCTGTGGCCAACACTATACAGTTCCATGCTGTGCTCTGCTTCTTCGATGCCTTGGCAGCAAATTAAGTTAAAGTCTGCATGGAAAAAAGAAGCCCTTAAATGTTGCCATATGCAGGATTGCATGGGAACTTCCTGAGGAACACATGTTGTTCTGGGTCTCTTGGAGAGGTGTTGAGTCTGTGTAGTCTATAGACTGAGACACAGTATGGTGGACCACTCAACAATGATAACAGAAAACAACAATTCACGATGGAGCATAATATTTTGTAAAAATGTCATATTTAAGACCTGTCAATGTGAAAACGGTCAGCGCTTGCATTTATACTACGTGACATGTTACAAGGGCCAATCAGCTCCAACTAAATGGCAGCTGTCAAAATGTTGACATATATTGGATTGGCATTTTTCCATCAAAAAATCTCTACTTTCACTCTGTCACAGACCAGCTGCTTTGCGGGCACATTTGTAAATCTCAAAGTGTATGAAACTTAAACCGTGATCACCAGAACATTTCATGGCTGGATAATCAAAATGGAGATTTCAGTAATATTTCCTTTCATGGGAATCCAGAATCCAACAAGGCTTCTTTGTGACAAATGGTCTCTTTTAATAAAACTTTGTATATTAGATTTAACCTTGCATTTACTTACAGTGTGGTTTGCAGTGCTTTTAAATTGTTTCAATGCCAGCGTCAGATCAAGACTTTCTTATAACACTGGGACCATTATCATGATCATATTAACCCTTACTTTCCTCAAAGTAACGCTAAATGGGTGTCTGTGTGTCTCTCTGTGTGTGTTTGTGTGTGTGGGTCTGTGTGTGTGTGTATGCAATGGTTTTGTTCTTACAGGATTACTGGTTCTCTCTGGTCTACAAGCGTCTGGTTGGTCCGAGGGTTTTAGCCGTGCGGGTGGCTGGACTGCAACGGAAGCCACAACCAGGACGAGTCATACGGGACAAGCTGCAAATCTACGCCCACTGTACCAGCTACTACAAGTACGTGCTACAGTGTGACCCCCTTAACACGGCATCATTATGAACTGTGATTTTGGTCTCTTTTGTAGCTGACAGATGACGAAGCACACATCCTCTCAGCCTTCCAGTGAGGTGTAGCGATACTTAAATGTCCTTGAGGATTTAGATGGAAAACAGACTGCTGCGGTTTTAACTTTTTCTTCTTCGTGTCCTCATGCAATCACCTGAGGCTCAGTGTCTGGTGAGGAAGAACAAAATCCCAGGCCGGGCCATTCGGCTTCCCATAAATAAGCAGACCACAGACACCCGCTCATTCACAGCTCAGAGCCTATAAAACTTAACGGGTATCACTTATCAGGTGTGTGGGTTCTGTCTCCCTGCCGTCAAAGAGCCGCTGAAAGGTGTGCTAGGCCTTTATCCCATCTCGGATTGGCTGGAGGGGGGTATTGGAGGGGGAGGGACAATAAGGCGGTCTGTGCCTGGAGGAGATAAAGAGTGCCATCATGGTCTGTTCAAGGTTATCATTTAACCCAGGCCAGCGGCTGTCAGCACCAGGCTAGACTTACGGCCTTACTCTAGACAGGCTGCGTTTACAGGTGCTGCATCTCTTAGAAAAATAGTGGAACGCTGCACCTAAAGATGGCCGATAACTGGGCAGGAGTTGCATAACCAACACACACATGAGGCCTGATGACATACACGCAAATATTTGAAATACTTCTCAAAGTAGACACCTGGTATGCATAGTGAATTTGGGAGAAGGAGAAGTGGCTTAGCTCCACTAATGCACCAAAGGATTAATTTGATCAGTCAGTAAGACACAACGTTTCAGTTGTGGTTATTTCTGAAACTTTGAGGAACACAGTCAGCACTAAAAAGGACAAACCATTGTAGTTAGTGGTTTGTGTAAGACAGCAACTATTGTTAATGTGCTCAGGATGTCCCTGGTTTAAAAAGTCTTTGCAGATTAGATATTTGACTTTCACTGCACTTTTAACCCTTTTAGTGGTTTGCATGCCATTTCTTTACACTTTCCAGCGACGCTCCAACATCAAACGGCATCAACACATGTTTATGTTCCTGGTTTGGATCGCTGAGAACCTCATCATTTGAAAGGCCTGAGAGGTCATTATCTCTGCCTCCATCTAACCATCTGATCTATTATTCAGAGCCATGGTCCACAGTTTTCAAAAACAAGGCTGCAAGAGTTTAACACGGAGCCAGACACACAGCATTCCCCTCAATACTTTATTTCTCTCTGTGAATATATTTAATATAGTCAGTCTTGTTGAGTTAATTAAATAAATTGCTCAACCTGATCCCAGAAGAACCAAGATAAACATCCAACCAAAAACCAAGATTTCTTTAAAGATATAAGATTATGGAGGAGGGAACAGGGAGGATTGTCTACCAGCCCCGAACACCAAGGCGAACATGTGGTTTTCACTAAAGCTGTGTTGTCTTTGTCCTCATATCTGGGTCCTTATTAGATTTGATCATGTCTCGCTTAGTTATTTACCTCTAGCCAGTCTCCCTATCAAGTTGAGTCCCCAGTGCTTTGCTCTCAGCAGCGGGACTCACACTCTGTTGTCTGTGTAACTCAAGAAGAGTTGCCTGTCGCATTCACACCCTTCATCTGACCCTGGGCTGTACAGCGTCAGATTTAAACATTGGACACTGTACACGAGAAGCAGATTTTAGCATCAGATAGCCTTTATAGGAATCATAAAGGCTTTGAAAATGAAATGTGGTTTATTATGGTTCAAACTAAATATAGATGATAACTTGCTGCTTCATGGAATTCCATTCTTAAGCATACTTTATCTTTCTGTATTATTTTTCTGCTAGCCTTTTGATCCAGTTTAGATCAAGGAGTTGTGGTTTGATCCTCTTTCTATGTGTGATAAACATATCAAAGGCTTCCTTCTCTTTGTAGTCATCTTTAATTATGGAGAATTGTATTCAACATGGCAACGTAATATCTATAATAAATCCATATTAACAGATGTGGAGAGGAGCCTTTTATCTTCCTGATTGTCTTTCCTGAAGGTAAAGGAAAACTGATGAGATTTTCATCATTTTCTTTGCGGCACTAGCCATAACTATGTGAGAGGGTCCATAACGATCTACATCATCAACCTGCATCGGTCGCGAAAGAAAATCAAGTTGGCGGGGACATTACGGAACAACATTGTCCATCAGTACCTGCTGCAACCCTACGGCACTGACGGACTCAGAGCCAAGTGAGTACCCCCCCCTCTCACACACACACGTGCACACACACACTCAGCGGCATCGGATTATTGTTTTCTTTCTTTCTTATTGTTTTAGAATATCCTGGGCAATTCATTTGGGAGAATCAAACAAGACAAATGCACTGAGGACAGAACCAGGTTACCAAAACAGCTCGTATTTTTGCAAACGTGTGAAAGGAATTTAAATGAGGAATAGGGATAATGAGAACTTCTCTAAACAAGTTTATGGGTCTTTAATTGTTTTATTTTTTTCCACCCTTAATAGGGTGTTAAGCTGGCCCTTCAAACGCTGCAGTGAATGCATTTTAAGAAACCAGTGGGTGTTGGACTTGAGTGCTATAATTCACACTGGGTCAGCATGTTGTGTGAAGACACACCACAAACCTACAAGCATTTACTTCTTCATGCCTAACCCGACGGTAGATAGCTTAGGCGACTCAAGGAATGAAACAAAAAGGGAAGAAAGTTTGAACCCTTTTCCTTTTTCAATGAACGATTAATATAGACTGCGGAATGTTAGACTGCTTTCTTAAAACTTACCAACCTTAGTTTTTAATTATTTTGCCAGTATGATAGTATAAACAGGTTACACATTAGTCGGACAAAGGAGTTACAAAATATACACACATTTAGATCAATGAAAGGTGTGTTGTGTGAAGGCCCTTTGTTGGAGTTTGTTTTCACAGCCTGCGACAGGTGAATCTTGTATGGGTTTTTATTTCCTTTCATATCTTTGCTATGTAAACTTATAAGTATATAACTATGGTATATTACACTTCATGTAACCAGGTCATATAAGACACATTTCCCAAAAGGTTCAGGCTCTTCCTCTCTCCTTTAAACCTGTTATTCTGAGACTCAGGCTTAAGCCTCAAGTCCTGGAATAACAGTCTCAGGTGTGTGTGTGTGTGTGTGTGTGTGTGTGTGTGTGTGTGTGTGTGTGTGTGTGTGTGTGTGTGTGTGTGTGTGTGTGTGTGTGTGTGTGTGTGTGTGTGTGTGTGTGTGTGTGTGTGTGTGTGTGTGTGTGTGTGTGTGTGTGTGTGTGTGTGTGTGTGTGTGTGTGTGTGTGTGTGTGTGTGTGTGTGTGTGTGTGTGTGTGTGTGTGTGTGTGTGTGTGTGTGTGTGTGTGTGTGTGTGTGTGTGTGTGTGTGTGTGTGTGTGTGTGTGTGTGTGTGTGTGTGTGTGTGTGTGTGTGTGTGTGTGCGTGCGTGCGTGCGTGCGTGCGTGCGTGCGTGCGTGCGTGTTATACGATACCGGCTTTGGGCCCTAATGGTGGCTAGGCATGATCCTTGAATAACACCATCAGGATGGAGGATGTTTTAGGTGTTAGAACAGGATTGCAGGGTAATTAATAGGAGAGAAAGCTAACGATGGGCCTTTTTCAGGACTTAACTGCTTTCCTTAACCACACGCAGCGCAGGGAAACTTTTATGAAGAATTTAGCAACACCAGATGTCTATAAACATTTCTGAGTACAGAGGTACTTTTCAACTCTGGCCAAGTATTTAGGTCCATTGGGTGTTCCAGAAAGGCTTTGAGCAACTTTTCCTTATAAAGTATAATTTAATATGATATTTTATTGAATTTTGAGGTTCACATAAACATTTACAGACTATTGGCCTTAATCTCTACGTTATTGTGAACTTTATAGTTTAATATATTTTTTTAAAACATGGTTACTAATAACAACGGCACTGTGAGCTTGGAAAGGTATGTGTTAAAGGTGATAATGTATACTAGAAATACAATACAAGGTGGTTATTTCTTAGGAGCATGATTTATTATTGAACTCTTACAATGACTTTAATATACTTGTAAATATAAAGAGAAACAAGGCATATGAAATACTGAAAGTCTGACTCAAGGTGACTGTTGTGCAAAAAGCTTATTAAATATTGTAGAATATTTTTCTAATAACATTACGCTTATATTCAGCCTATATTGCTTTTTACAAAAAACTGCACCCTAAAGTATAACTGTGATGTGTTGATGTGTCATTAACAATATGTATTCTGAATATGTTATTATGGTAACAGGTCGAATAAGGAAAATAAATTTTTTTTTTTTAGCTGTTTACAATTATTTATTTATTGGAACTTTTTACTAAAATGTGTAGTAAAAATGGTAATTTTATGGGTATGAGAAATTCAATTATATCAAAAATGTTTCCTAACAATTTGTCTTTAAAGGCTGTATTGTATAATCTTTATTTGTACTGTTATAGTTTGTGTACCTCTATAAACATACTGCAAATAGAAAAGTGATAGTTGAATATTTTCTGATCTTTCATTTCTTTTAAGAGGATTGTTTCAGTGCTCCAACTGTTTGTAATTCCACCGGCAGATTTCACTCAAACAGTCAGTTCTAGTGTGTCGGTGTGAAATTGCAATTTTCTTTACAACAGCTCCCCCAAGTGGACACAGACAGAATCAAAAGCATTTTTAGAGAGATGCTACATTTTGCTTCACTTTATTGGGGAGGTGAAAACCCGTCTTATCTTTCCGTCACATTTACCTACATATGTTTGGAATTGTTCCTCTTTAACCCTACAGATATGTCCAGCTGAACGGGGAGAAGCTGCTCATGGTGGACAATGAGACATTTCCCGAGTTAAAGCCTAAGACATTGAGGGCTGGACGGACAATAGCCATGCCTCCCATGACCATTGGCTTTTATGTCATCAAAAACATTAACGCATATGCCTGCCGAAGATAACACTGACCCCCTCGTCCGGAGCTTTAGGAGCACTGCTCAAAGTCACAGCTTTGATCCAAAGCTTCAAAACAAGATGTGGCTTTTAAATGTCGTTCCCTTTTCTGCTGAAACACAGGGAGGTCAGAAAAAACTGCTTTTTAGAATTTGCATGTCTTGCTCAAGGACACTTCAGTAGAGTGGACACTTGAGTACAGTACAATCATGTAGTCTTCATCATTATTCATGACTAAAGAAAGACTTGCCCAAAACACATACAAAAGGGCTGCACTGAACTCTTTTCAATTCTTTTCTCCAGCAGCTCTTTGTTCAAGACTCTAATGTTTGTGTGACTTTGTATGAAGTTATGCAATATCACAAAAGTCCACCTTAATGCAACTTATTAAGCTATCATTTCTCTGCTTGGATTGTAAAACCTAGAGATGTTATCTCTGTCTGCCCAGGGTTTCTTCTGTTTTTCATAATTCATCTTTCACTGACCGATGAAGAGAAAAGAATGCAGCGTTTCTGAAGATTACACAAGTCAAGAACATACAAAGTGTGAGTGTGTGTGCGTGTGCGTGTGCGTGTGCGTGTGCGTGTGTGTGTGTGTGTGTGTGTATGTGTTGATCAAGCTACTGATGTGTCTGTCCAGTCTATTTGGCTCTGAAGCTGTGGTTCTTTCTCTGCCGTTCCAAGTGGCTTAAAGGGAAAATATTCTTCTTCTAAAGGCTGTTTTGTATGTCGTGTGTGTCGTTACGTTCCGCTGCAGCATCTGGCCGGGATGTGTCTCCAGTGTTGTGTTGAAGCGATGCATGTTCTACCATCCAGCCTCCACACACAATCTGGGTTTCGTGCAGATGTAATGTCACTATCTTCATTTTGATTTAACGTTTTATAATCCTCTTGTGCTGCTAGAGTTTTTTGTACTAAATATACATATATTTTACATCATTTTGTACAGATTTACTGTCAAACTATTAGGTAATGTATTGTACATAAGAAAGAGTGATGCAAATACGTGATTTAAGATTGATATGTTTACTTACAAACAGTATACATCTAATTTATATGTCTAAATAATTTGCTTTGCTTTAACATTTCTAGTTTTAAATGTCATCGTCACAGACTGTGTTTTATTTGGAAGAAAGGGAAATACCTTAAGATTTAAAATGGTTCATTACCCATGTTTCCCATTTATTTTACTTAAAGTTCATAATATTTTAATCAACTTGTTTCAAGATAAGCTTGTCATTTTCTGGACTGCAACCACATGAGTAAAAATGGGTCATGATGTGCTCTTAGATCAATGATTACATCTGTACTTTCCTACGTGGTGGAAGTAACACAGGAGCAGGTTCAGAGCCCCAACATGTTGAATATATATACATATATGTGTCCCTTTAAATGTGTTCATAGTTGATGTAGAGATGTTCATATTTCTTTTGGAGAGTCTTATTTGAATATGTAAAGTGTGCCTATATATTATTTTTTCTTAAAAAAAAGTTTACATTGATAATAAACACTTACAAATACCTTGTAGTTGTATTTGTTCCATTTATGCTAAATACATTTCTATACACTTTGCTTGTAAACTCACTAGTTTGCATACATTAAAGGATACTTCTGTATAAACAGTCCCATCATGTAAATAAACACTGAGCAATGCAAACATAGAGTATATCTACTTATTTAACCCTTGTGCCCTCCTCGAATTTTCAACCTTTCGACCCCTTCGTGGCAAAAATGTACACGCCCATAATAACTGCTATTAAATCATCATACATCAACATTTCTTTCTACTTTTTTTTTCATGAATCACTTAAACAACTTATAACGTACTCAAAACTACCAAACATTCAATAATTTTCTGGATTTTAATCCTTTAAATGCCTGTTTAATTATTTGAATTATTTCATTATTTATGACAAAAAACACAAAAAATTAATTTTTTTCAATATAATAATTAGTAGAGGGATGGAACTTTGGTGGTTATTAGAGTCTTGGATGTGTCAAAGATTAGCAACAAAATTGATTTGACTGCATTATTATTTTTTACGTAGTATCAGATACTACCTCTGGACACCTTCGTGGCAAAAATGTACACGCCCATAATAACTGCTATTAAATCATCATACATCAATATCTTTTTCTACTTTTCTTTTCATGAATCACATATACAACTTCTAACGTATTCAAAACTACCAAACATTCAATCATTGGCAGGATTTTAACCCTTTAAATGCCTGTTTAATTATTTGAATTATTTCATTTTTTCTTACGAAAAAACACAAAACATAATTATTTTTCAATATAATAATTAGTAGAGGGATGGAACTTTGGTGGTTATTAGAGTCTGGGATGTGTCAAAGATTAGCAACAAAATTGATTTCACTGCATTATTATTTTGTACGTAGTGTCAGATACTACCTTTGGACCCCTTCGTGGCAAAAATGTACACGCCCATAATAACTTCTATTAAATCATCATATATCAATATTTCTTTCTACTTTTTGTTTCATGAATCACATAAACAACTTATAACATACTCAGAACTAGCAAACATTCAATACTTTTCTGGATTTTAATCCTTTAAATGCCTGTTTAATTATTTGAATTATTTCATTATTTATTACAAAAAAACACAAAAAATGAATTTCTTTCAATATAATAATTAGTAGAGGGATGGAACTTTGGTGGTTATTAGAGTCTTGGATGTGTCAAAGATTAGCAACAAAATTGATTTGACTGCATTATTATTTTTTACGTAGTATCAGATACTACCTCTGGACACCTTCGTGGCAAAAATGTACACGCCCATAATAACTGCTATTAAATCATCATACATCAATATTTTTTTCAACTTTTTTTTCATGAATCACATATACAACTTCTAACGTACTCAAAACTACCAAACATTCAATCATTGGCAGGATTTTAACCCTTTAAATGCCTGTTTAATTATTTGAATTATTTCATTTCTCTCAAAAATGCCACATTGACTTCCATTCAGACCACATTTGTTGATCTCACTGCCATTGCAGTATAAAACCATGCATTTTGTAATGTCAGCATTTCATTTAGAAGAAAAGTAGTGATATTTGATATTTCTACTCTATTCCAACAGATTAAACCATTTTCCCACTGTAGGCCGATGCATTACATTCTTACATTTTTGCCAGTTATATTATGGAGCCGTGTGACTACCAGGGGGCCCCGAGAGTGGTGTGTGTGTGTGTATGTATATGTATGCGTGTGCGTGTGTGTGTGTATATGTGCGTGTGTGTGTGTATATGTGCGTGTGCGTGTGTGTGTGTATATGTGCGTGTGTGTGTGTGTGTGTCATTTCCAGCAGCAGACTAGCAGGTCCTGCAGCATGTGACCTGGTGCTCTCAGGTGATAGAACACAATTTTTTTAGGCCTGTGCACAACCAGCACACACCTCTCCTCCCTCTCCGTGTGTGTGTGTGTGTGTGTGTGTGTGTGTGTGTGTGTGTGTGTGTGTGTGTGTGTGTGTGTGTGTGTGTGTGTGTGTGTGTGTGTGTGTGTGTGTGTGTGTGTGTGTGTGTGTGAGAATCTGTAAGCATGCACAGATCATTTCATGGGAACAAAAGGCCATCTTTTGAGGGATGTGTTTGATGTATCTTTGAAGAGCTGCTTGATTACTCAAAAACAAAAAACAACTGTTAGTGTGTTTATGCACCTGGCTGCCAAAGATAAACATGCAGTTTGACCAAGGGCTTATTTCATTAGTGAGCAGAGAAGGAGAAAGACCTGGAGCAAAGAGAAGGAACTCAAATGAAGAAGCATTTCAGTGCTGAAGAGACTTCAGAAATAATCTTGCAGCCTTCTTCTGCCAGCGAGCTGCATGACTCATCTGAAGAAGACACAAGGTTCGAGGGGGGGTCTGACACTGAATGCTCTCTGGAGTCCAGCATTTCTTTGAGTTCCTCTGACCCTTCATCTGAAAGTGGAGAGGACACTGAGGGTCCGGCCCACAGTGAGGGGACAGAGAAGAACGGAGGTCGTTCTCCCAGGAGCTGGGGAAAACCAGGGTGTCCTCACAGATTGTGAGAAGAAAGCCCCCCGTGGTGGTGGATGGTGGGCCGGACCCTCAGTGTCCTCTCCACTTTCAGATGAAGGGTCAGAGGAACTCAAAGAAATGCTGGACTCCAGAGAGCATTCAGTGTCAGACCCCAGAGAGCATTCAGTGTCAGACCCCCCCTCGAACCTTGTGTCTTCTTCAGATGAGTCCTGCAGCTCGCTGGCAGAAGAAGGCCACAAGATTATTTCTGAAGTCTCCTCTGCACTGAAAAGCTTCTTCATTTGAGTTCCTTCTCTTTGCTACAGGTCTTTCTCCTTCTCTGCTCACTAATGAAATAAGCCCTTGGTCAAACTGCATGTTTATCTTTGGCAGCCAGGTGCATAAACACACTAACAGTTGTTTTTTGTTTTTGAGTAATCAAGCAGCTCTTCAAAGACACATCAAACACATCCCTCAAAAGATGGCCTTTTTTTCCCATGAAATGATCTGTGCATGCTTACAGATTCTCACAGACACACACGGAGAGGGAGGAGAGGTGTGTGCTGGTTGTGCACAGGCCTAAAAAATGGTTGTTCTATCACCTGAGAGCACCAGGTCACATGCTGCAGGACCTGCTAGTCTGCTGCTGGAAATGACACACACACACACACACACACACACACACACACATACACACACGCACATATACACACACACACACACACACACATACACACACGCACATACACACACACACACACACACACACACACACACACACATACATATACATACATACACACACACACACACACACACACACACACCACTCTCGGGGCCCCCTGGTAGTCACACGGCTCCATAATATAACTGGCAAAAATGTAAGAATGTAATGCATCGGCCTACACGGAAACTTGTGTAATCTGTTGGAATAGAGTAGAAATATCAAATATCACTACTTTTCTTCTAAATGAAATGCTGACATTACAAAATGCATGGTTTTATACTGCAATGGCAGTGAGATCAACAAATGTGGTCTGAATGGAAGTCAATGAGGCATTTTTGAGATAAATGAAATAATTAAAATAATGAAACAGGCATTTAAAGGGTTAAAATCCTGCCAATGATTGAATGTTTGGTAGTTTGGAGTATGTTAGAAGTTGTATATGTGATTCATGAAAAAAAAGTAGAAAAAGATATTGATGTATGATGATTTAATAGCAGTTATTATGGGTGTGTACATTTTTGCCACGAAGGGGTCCAGAGGTAGTATCTGACACTACGTAAAAATTAATAATGCAGTCAAATCAATTTTGTTGCTAATCTTTGACACATCCAAGACTCTAATAACCACCAAAGTTCCATCCCTCTACTAATTATTATATTGAAAGAAATTCATTTTTTGTGTTTTTTTTTAAGAGAAATTAAATAATTCAAATAATGAAACAGGCATTTAAAGGGTTAACATCCTGAAAACTATTGGATGTTTGGTAGTTTTGAGCACGTTAGAAGTTGTTCAAGTGATTCATGGAAAAAAAAGTTTA